TCAGGCCCGTCTGAGTTTTGCTAGTTGTTGAAATGCTGTGGGGTGGATTATGACCCACAGCTACCCAGTATAGGGTTTCCAATAGTAGCTGTTGAGCTAGAACCACAGTTTCTGCAATTCTACATGCTTTGTGGTCTGGTGGATTAAACCACAGCAGGGGTGCTTTGTTACTGGTATTAAACTGCTACTCAGTTTGGGCTGGCCTAAACCTTGATGCTTTGACGGGTGGGCCTGAGGCTAGGAGGCTGGGCAGAGGGCTGGCCTAGGCCAAAGAAGTGGGGGATGGGCTTGGTGCTTATAGGCAGATGGGGGTCTGTTTCTGATGACGTCTAAAATGCCTCTCTTTGTCTCCCTGTGCCTTGAGCCCCCCAATTTGTCCTATATACACGCCGGTACTGCCTAATGTGGCAATGAGGACCCCCCTGGGATGGACTATGTTGGTTCCTGTGGCCCCACTAGTTCTCTGAGAGCATCAGCCCTTTGAATGGGTCTGCTCAGGCCCTGCTAAGTTCTGCAGTGGGCGGGGCCGTCCCCGGGTAGGAGCCCAGAGCAGGCGGGTGGAAGTTAAAAATGCTCGTAACTCCTCCAGAGTTTGATCCTTCAAAAAACAAGTTCATAAAGTTGCAGCCTAATGTTTTATGTTTGCCCAAAAGCTGTCTGTCTACCAGGCAGGGGCCCCAATTTGTGATACCATCCCCTACTTTTTCTCAAGCCCGCATACCTGTCCTGCCCAGTCAGGGAAGTGCCACCCTTCAATTTCCTAATGTCCTTTTCATCATTATTGCTGTTGCTCTAGAGAAATCCAATTGATTTTTGTATGTTACTCTTATACCCTGCCACTTTGCTGAATCTTTTGGTGAGGTCTAATAGTTTTTTTTACTGAGTCTTTGGGGTTTTCTATGTACAGGATCATACCGTCTGCAAATAGGAAGAGTTTTACTTCCTCTTTGCCAATTTGGATGCCTTTAATTTCTTTATCATGTCATGTAGCGTCCAACTGATTCTTGTATGTTGATCTTATATCCTGCCACTTTGCTGAATCTTCCAATGAGGTCTATTATCTTTTTTACTGAGTCTTTGGGGTTTTCTTCATATAGGATCATATCACCTGCAAATAGAGAGAGTTTTACTTCCTCTTTGCCAATTTGGATGCCTTTAATTTCCCTGTCTTGCCGTATATCTCTTGCTAAGACTTCTAGCACAATATTGAATAGGAGTGGTGACAAAGGGCATCCTTGTCTGGATCCTGTTCAACCTATATGCTCAGCATATAATCTGAGAAGCTGGGTTCTATGAAGAAAAATGTGGCATCAGGGTTGGAGGAAGACTCATTAACAACCTACGATATGCAGATGATACAGCCTTGCTTGCTGAAAATGAAGAGGACTTAAAATACTTACTGATGAAGATCAAAGAGCACAGCCTTCGGTATGGATTCCATCTCAATGTAAAAAAAACAAAAATCCTCACTAATGGACCAATAAACAACATTCTTATCAAAAGAGAAAAGATTGAAGTTGTTAAGGACTTCATTCTTCTTGGATCAACTATCAACACTCATGGAAGCAGCAGTCAAGAAATCAAATGACGTATTGCATTAGGCAAATCTGCTACACAAGACCTTTTTAAAGTGTTGAAGAACAAAGATGTCAGCTTGTAGACTAAGGTGTCCCTGACCCAAGTTTTGGTATTTTCAATAACCTTGTATGCATGCAAAAGTTGGATGGTGAATAAGGAAGACCATAGAAGAACTGATGCATGTGAGTTATGGTGTTAGAGGAGAACACCAAAAGAACAAACAGAGCTGTGTTGGAAGAAGTACAGCCAAAGTGTTCCTTGGAGACCAGGATGGCCAAATTTCATCTCTCATGTTTTGGACATATTGTCAGGAGGGACCAGTCACTGGAGAAGGATATCATGTTTGGTAGGGTGGATGGTTAGAGAAAAAGAGGAAGACCCCCAGCGAGATGGATTGGCAAAGTGGCACCATCAATAGGCTCAAGCGTGGCAACAATTGTGAGGTTGGCCCAGGATTTGGCAGTGTTTCATTCTTTTGTGCATAGGGTCATTGTGAGTCATTGCCAACTAAATGGCACCTAATGACAACAACAACATGGGTCAGAACTGATTTAATGGCACTGAACAACAACAACTTCCCTAAATGGAGTCATGGTGTGGTGTTATAGGATAATAATCTGGATCACAATGTTGGTTTTAACTTCAAGTTTGGTGGTTCAAGCTCAGAGTTGGAACTGACTCAATGGTAGTTATTAATAACAACAACAATGGGCCATGTGTGTGGGTGAAGGCAATCGAACTGTCTTTGGGATAGGCTGATTGCTTCCCAGTATCTATAAGGTGTATGTGCTTCCCATCCCTGAGTACATCCTGGTTATGGATGTCCTACATGGTCTGTGGCTGAAGACTACAGTTGGAGCATTTCACCTTTGAGTAAGAGTTGTGAAAGCAGTAGTGAGGGGCCATGATGTTCATGCCTCCTTACAACTCCGGACGCCAAGGTGTGTCACAAATGTGAAAGAATGAGGTGGAAAAGGTGGGGACTGTATGCCCCACCCACAGTCCTTATAATTTGAGACCTTGCAGTTCAAACTGACCTTGCAGTGCAGTGCATTAACCCACAGTATCACCCCAGGGTGGGACACACTTCAATCCAGGACAGTAATGGTAACTTTTGGAAAATGGACAGTGGTAATAGTTATACAAAATGATGAATGAAATGCCATTGAATTATACATGCAAAAAATGTTCAAGTTGCAATTCTTTTGCTATATATGTGCTTACCACAATAAACAAAGTCCTAATGTGATGATTCTAAGATAATCACTGGACTGCTAATCACAAGATCAGCAGTTCAAACCCATCAACCGCTCTTGGAAACCCTATACAGAGGCACTATGAGTTGGAACCAACTTGAGGGCACTTAACAACACCACAATAAATAAAATTGTTTTAATTAAATAATTTAAAAACCAACGACAACAATAAACCAAGACTTCATAGTAATCTGAACACAGACAAAAACATGAAAGTTTTCCAAACCACAAAAACGATAAAAAAAATTCCCTACCCTGGCTAGTATAAAAGGCTACTTGTTGCTTAGTTATTAATCACAGGTTTAGTCTTGCTTCATTCCTCTTATCTCTGAGGTAAAATTAAAATACCCAATTATATAATCTAGCCCTGCCTCTGACAGTATTCAATCCAGAGCAAAGTCCTGCCTCCTAAATTTACCTTTAGATCACCTAACACAAGCCCAAATCCAATAATATGGTCTGATATATGGGATTAGCACTGGACTGTGAAACACAGAAGGTCTGCAGTTCAAATCCATCAGCTGCTCCTTGGAAACCCTCTGTTGTTGTTAAGTGCCGTGGAGTCGGTTCCGACTCATAGTGACCCTGCACAGGGTTTCCGAGGCTGTAAATCTTTACGGGAGCAGAACGCCTCATCTTTCTCCCGCGGAACCGCTGGTAGTTTCAAACTGCTGACCTGAGGAGGGGTCGTTTCTGACGCATCTAGGGCCTGCATAGGGTTTGTTGAGTTTGAACCGCTGACTTTGAGCCAATAAGCAGTTTGGTGCTTATCCTACAGTCACACCTATTCCCTTTTAAGCATTAACAATTCATTTATGCTAAAACATAAAAGGAATTCGTAGTTGATATTTAGTGTTGTTGTTGTTGTCAGGTGCCATCGAGTTGGAACCGACTCATAGCGACCCCATGTACAGCAGAACGAAACAATGTCCGATCCTGGGCCAACCCCACCACCGCTGCCACACTTGATGCCATCAATGATGCCACCTGACTGATCCATTTCGTTGGGGGTCTTCCTCTTTTTCTCTGACCCTCCATCTTACCCAGCATGACATCCTTCTCCAGCGACTGTTCTCTCCTGACAATATTTCCAAAGTATGAGAGACGAAGCTTAGCCATCCTGGCCTCCAAGGAGCACTCTGGCTGCACTTCTTCTAAAATAGATCTATTGGTTCTTTTAGTGAGAGAGTCCTACATCCTGGAGTCCTGGCGTGGCGCTGTGGGTTAATATGGTCAGACTGCAAAGCCATTTGAACTGCAAGGTTGGCGGTTCAAGTTCACCAGTTGCTCCTCGGAAACCCTATTCAGGTTCAGTCGCTATGGGTCGGAGTTGACTCGAAGGCACTTAACAACAACTATGTCCTAGTGAGAATACTATGACCTAGCCTTAGTTGGAGTCCTAGTATTAGCCCTTTAGGATAAGCACCGAACGAACTGCAGAGTGCAGGTTCAAACCCACCAGTCGCTCCTCCGAAACCCTATACAAACTCGCCGTGAGTCAGAAACAACTTGATGGCATTTAACAACAGTCGGAGTTGATTTGAGTCAGAATCCACTGGACAGTGGGAGTCATTGTTTCAAGGGTTCTAGATGTTTTCATTAATTTATCCCTCACATCAACCCTGTGAAGATAAGTACTATTATTAACCTGGATTGACTTCTGAAGAATCTAAAGAGAGAAAGAGGCTTCATAATTCAGGAATTGAGGTTTCAAACAAAGCACCTCCGGTAACGCACTGGACAGCAAGGTCGGTTTGAACCATAAGGTCGGCGGTTCAAACTCACCAGTCCCTCCTTGGAAACCGTATCCAGGGTTGCTGAGTCGGAACCGACTGCAAGATACTTAACAACTCAATAACATACACCAGGCCATAAGTAGGTCAGGGACTTCGTCAAAGTTTGGTTTGGAGGCTGTGACGTAGCCATCTTGTTTGTAGTACGCCAGACTGCAACTCCCGGCAAACCTTGCGGCAGCGGCCCTCCACACACAACAAATCCCGGCGTGCTTCTGGGTGGCCAGGAGTGGAGGGTTCTAGAAGGCGTGACGTGGGGGGTCTGTAGCAGGCTCTGAGGCGGGCACCTCTAGGCAGTTGCCTCACGGCAGTCGCGGTTACCTCAGGACGCGGGCGGTCGGGCCGCGGGCACAGCCTCTTCATCTGCTCGGCCATGGCCGCACTCGGCCGGCCTTTTTGCGGGCTGCCCCTGAGCGGCAGCTCGGACTTCCTGCAGCCGCCGCCGCCGCCGCCGGTCTTCCCCGGACGGGCCTTCCCGCCGGAGGCTGACGGTGCCGAGTTATCCCCGCGGCCGGGGCTCCGCGCCGCCCCAAGCAATCCCGGCGGGAGCGCGGCGCGAGGACGGTGAGGAGCCCGGCGGGCGCGGGGCGGACGGGAGGGCCGGGTGCCCCTCACAACGGGCTGATGGCTCCTTCCGGGGACGCCTCCGTATCCTCAGTTTCCCGAGAAGGCAGCCGAGCCGTTAACTGTAGGGCTCCTGAGGTCTCCCAGCCCTGGAGTCCAGGGTTTGAAGCTTGTTGGGGTCTGACGGACGGACGCTGGAGTAGAGCTTGGGGGTTCCCTCCACGCGTCCACACCATGTCCCCTTCCAGATTGCGACGCCCCGCCGATGGGTACACTTCTGGGTGCCTTCTGGTCACTGTCGTCTCCTCCACCAAGTAGGCAGCGAAAATATACCCCCTTAGTGCTAGCGTGGAAATTCAGCCCCTGCTCCGAACGTTTTCCCAACCTTGGTCCCGCCAAACGTGGTTCTCACCACCCTTCACCAAGTGAGAAGTTGAGAACCCAACCTTGGGCCACTTGACCGGCCTGTGACCCATGTCCCTCCAATCGGCCTGGGAAGAGACAAGTGTAGGGTGGGCACGATGATCAGAGCCAATGAGAGTGGAGGCTGAAAGTAGAATCAAACTCCAAACACCTTTACCAGTTGACTGAATTTGTTGTCTGTTTGTCTCAACAGTGTTTCAGTTCATTGTAAAAAGAAACACAAGCGAGAGGAGGAGGATGACGAGTAAGTTGCAGGCGCCATTTCTTCACTTTATGGTCACTGTTATTCAACTGCTTGCTAGATCATACACGACTTGTTTTATAGGGATTTGCTAGGAGTCACAAGTTGATAACACTGGTTGCTTTTGGGGAAAGAGGACTGAGTGGTTGACAGGCACGTTGGAGGAAAACTTCATGCTGTAACCTGTTTGTTGTAAGAGTTCCAAGTGTTCCAAAGGATTCCTATAAAAAAATGTCTTACAGCCTCTTTCCCCACAGGGAACTTCTGTTATCACTTCCCTGTTTCTCCTTTAGAAGATAGTTGGAACATTGACAAGTTTGTAATAGTCAAAACCAAAAAATACATACTGCTGTGGAGAGTCATTTGCAGCAGGCATAGGGTTTGAACTGCTGACTTTTTATCTAGCACTCCATACCTATCTATACAGTGCCACACCAGAACTCTTATAATTGTTTAGTGCCTTCAAATCAATTCTGATTTCATAGCCACCCTGTTTCTGAGGAACACTGGTGGGTTTGAATTATTGACCTTGCAGTTTGCAGTCCATTGATGATTCTACAGCACCATGTGAGGAGACCTATAATTCTTGTTGTTAAGTGCCGGTGGAATCGGTTCCAATTCAAAGCAACCCTGTATAGGTTTCCAAGGAGTGTCTAATGGGTTTGAACTGCTGACTTTGTGATTAGTAATCCAGTGCTCATCCTACAGTACCACACTAGAACAAGACTATAAATCTTTACAGGAGCAGATGGAGTCATCTTTCCTCCAAGAAGCGGTTGGTGGAGTTGCATCACCAGCCTTTCGGTTAGCAGTCCAATGCCTAACCCACAGTGGGAGAGTATGTAGGGCAAGAGGGTTTCTCCTCCACTATGAATGGGGGTGTAAATTGGAGCAAGCATTTTGGAAAAGAGTTTGGCATTATCTCATAAGCACTGGACTGCTAACTGCAAGGTCGACAGTTTAAACTCACCAGTCACTCTTGCAAACTCTGCACAGGTTTGCTTTGAGTCGGAACAGACATGACAACAAAGTTGAAGGCTCACATAATTTTCTAGCCCCCAGTTTTCCCTCTGGGATGTATACCCTAGAGAAGTTTGTAGGCATACCAGGTATAAGAAAGTTCATATCTGCCTTGTTTATAATAGCCTAAAACTGGAAACACCTCAAATATCTTTCATTAGTAACGTAGATAAAGTAAATTATAAATTCTTGTGTAGCTAAAAGAAAAATGAACTGTACCTACATATTCAATGTGGATGTGCCTTTTAAGCATTGTTGTCAGTTCCGACCCATAGCAGTCCTCTATAGGGTTTCCAAGGAGCGCCTGGTGAGCTTGAACCACCAACCTTTTGGATCAAACTGACTTTGCAGTCCAGCGCATTAACCCACAGTGCCGTACCAAGACATTAAGCATAATATGAGCAAAAGAAACATCACAAGAATGTATACAGAATCATTCCTAAAATACATTCAAAATCAAGTGAAACAAAGTCATTTAGATATGTAGGAGAGAGCTTCAGTATGTTCATGAAAAGTTCCATTATCTTTTCATTCCATTTGTCCACAAACTTTTTGAAGCCCCCTTGGATACTGTACACATGATAATGCATTTTTTGGGAAAAACAACAAAATAATTACCATAAAAGATGGTGTTTATCTAATCTGTAAAGAATATACTTGGGGATTCTGACTTTGCTTTCTGTCTTGGGTGATATTTTCATGGGTGTTTGTTTTGTAACTATGTCATCACTTTTTTCTGTGTAGGGTTTTACAGCTTAAAAAGTGAGGGGAATTTGTTGTTGTAGCAGCTGGTGAGCTTGAACCACTGACTTTGCAGTTCAAATGACTTTGCAGTCTGACGCATTAGCCCACAGCGCCCTACCAGGACTCCAGGAACATGAACATTTTCATTTAAGCCATGAATTGTTAGTTTCTGCAAGTATTTTATTGACTTAATTATCTTTCACATTGATTCCCACGAAGTCCTTAATAAGTAAATAGCAGGTTACTATGTGTTTTGCATATGTTTTCTCCAAATTTGTCATTTGTCTTTTGTTGCTGTTAAGTGCTGCTGAGTTGGTTACAACTCATACCTACTCTATACAGTATTTCCTAGGAGTGGCTGGTGAATTTGAACTGCCAACCTTGCAGTTCAAACTGACCATGCGGTCAAGTGTGTGTCCTGCAGCACTAAAACTGAGTTTAAAGTATGACAACTTTTGATTGAAAAGACTGCTGTTAAGTGTTGTCCAATCCGTTCTGACTCATAGCAACCTTGTATAGGGTTTCGGAGGAGCAGCAGGTGGATTTGAACCATCTACCATGTGGTTCAAAGTCCAGTGCTTATCCTGTAGTGCCACACCAGGGGTCCCACTGAAAAGATTTGTTGTTGTTAGGTGCCATCGAGTCTGTACCAACTCATAGAGACCTTATGCATAGCAGAACGAAACACTGCCCGATCCTGGGCCAACCTCACTACTGTTGCCACACTTGAGTCCATTGATGCTGCCATTTGGCCAGTCCATCTCGTTGGGGTGTCTTCCTCTTTTTTTCTGACCCTCCACCTTACCAAACATGATATCCTTCTCCAGCGACTTGTCCCTCCTGACAACATATCTGAAGTATGAGAGATGAAGTTTGGCCATCCTGGCCTCCAAGGAGCACTCTGGCTGTACTTCTTCCAACACAAATCTGTTTGCTCTTTTGACAGCCCATGGCACTTTCAATATTCTCCAACACCATAACTTAAAAGCATCAATTCTTGTACAGACTTCCTTATCCACTGTCCAGCTTTCGCATGCATATGCGGTTATTGAAAACACCATGGCTTGGGTCAGGCGCACTGAAAAGATTAACTGTCTTTAGTTTACATGTGAAAAGATTGACAGGAGGAATGAGACTTGTGCAGCCTAGCCTCTTACTTCCATAGTCTTTGTAGCACATTTTCTTTGTGACTTAATTATCATTGAGTTCTTCAATTATTTGCAAAGTAGACCATCCCCACCATGAAATAACTCACCCAAATCATGTTGTTGAAGGTCAAGTGTCAGACCCCAGCTCTTAGCTCAGTTGCATTTAATACTTGAATTGTTAGATTTATTCTGTCTTTTCTTAGTTGGGTTCTTAAATGTATGTCTTTATTTTCTTCTGTGTTCTAAAACTTCATACACTTTTAAACGATCAAATATTATAGAGATATATTTGATCGTTTAAAAGTCTATGAAGTTTTAGAGCGAGGGGGCTTCAACAAATTTGTGGAAACATGGGAATAAAAGATAATGGAATTTTCCCACAAACTTTTGAAGCTGCCTCCGCTGTAGGTTAATGCGACAGACTGCAAAGCCGTTTGAACTTCAAGGTCGGTGGTTCAAACTCACCAGCTACTCCTTGGAAACCCTATACAGAGTCGCTATGGGTTGGGATCGACTCGACGGCACTTAACAACATATATATGTGTGTGTGTGTGTATATATAATAAAAACGAAGCCAAACCCACAGCTATCAAGTTGATTCCAACTCTGTAACTCTATATAGGTATAGGGTTTGTGAACTGTAAATCTTAATGGGAGCAGAGAGCCTCATCTTTTTTTGAATTGTTGACATTAAGATTAGCAGCCCCACAGTGCCACCAGGGCTCCTTTATATATATACTTGTTGTTGGTACTGTCAAGTCAGTTCTGACTTAGAGCAGTTGGTGAGTTTGAGCCAATGACCTTGCGATCCAAACCGACTTTGCGGTCCAGTTCTCATCCTACAGCGCCACAGGGCCTTCAAATGTTAATAAACCAAAAAACCTAACCCACAGCATGAAAAACTGAAATAGAAAGATAATGCAATTTTTCCGTGAACTTCGAATCCCCCCATATATGGCTGGTCTTCACATTACACTTGCTTTTTGTCCAGTCAGTAAAGTACTTTTGGTATAATACTTTATGATTGCCTGTTTGAACTATTAAAGTGCCTTTGAGTTGGTTCCGACTCTTAGCGACCCTGTATAGGATTTCCTGGAAGCAGTTGAGAGTTTGAACCACTGAACTTGTGGTTCAAACTGACCTTATGATTGAGTGCTTATCATTAAATATGGGCATGTTGTGCTTACAAATGGAAAGAACTTGAACAGTTGAACGTCTCTAAGGCGTTGGGGATTTAGTAAAATGACTAAGGTTCACAAGCTCTGGTATGTGGTCTCAAACAGCAACCCTGCTATGAGACTTTGGAGGGGCGCTTTTGCTTTCCTAGGCTCTAGTTTCCAAATCTGTGAAACAAAAAAATGGGATTGGATGAATTCCCAGGTCTCTGTGAGCTGAGTCTGCCTAGCAAGTGATGAGCATATGTTGCAAGATGGAAGAAAAGTGGACCCCATTTTCGGTGATGGACAGATAGAGACATCTGATAGCCTCCAACATTTTAGAGGGGCAACAAGTAAGCCATAGTGTCACCTGTACCTGTGTATTTGGAACAGATCTTATGAGCATGCTTTTTTTTTTGCCCTATAGGAATATAGGACAAGCTGCCACATCTTTTCCCCATGTGGTCAATTGGTGGAGCCAGCAGTAGGACAAAATATGGTGTATGGGATTGCTGCATTGTGATATTGCTTGTTTGATTTCTGCTTGACCATTTCAGAGAAACTTAAGAGTGACTTTTAAGTTTCCACATTGAACACTTCAGAAACCCTATACATAGAGTGGTTGAGTTGGAACTGACTCAGTAGCACTTAACAGCAACAACAACAATCTGAAAAGGCAAAATTCTGTAGATGCAGTCTCATTTGGCATAGAAGTTTGTCTCAGGAAAGGCTTTGAGGGTGACAGAAAAAGAACATGTGGTTTTCCATCTGGTTATCCCACACTGTCCAAATTCTAGGTTTTTATTTATTTTTCTAACATGTTGTGGCTGTGTACGGTCAAGTTGATTCCAACTCATAATGGCCTGTATAGGGTCTCCCAAGAATGGCTGGTGGGTTCGAACAGCCGATCTTTTGGTTACCAGTTCACTGCTTTTCATATAGTGTTACATCAGGGCTTTATTTACATAGAAAAATTTAAAGATGAGGTTTATAGACATTTTATTTGTTTTCTAGCTAATTAGAAAAGAACTTGGGTTTTTATTGAAAATGTTTTTCTTCTTCAGTTGTCCAGTGAGAAAGAAGAGGCTGACTGAAGCAGGCCTCTGTCCTGGTCCAAATGACTGGATTCTGTGTGCACATCAAGAAGTAGAAGGTCATGGAGTAAATCTGTGCACTAGTGGCCTTTCTGTGTCTGGCATGTTAGATGTGACCTGCGAAGACATGGATCAGACAACCACAGAACCACAGTGTGAAATTGCCCGAAGGCGGCTTCAGGAAATTGAGGACAGGTAAAGAAAGAAAGGGGCAGCCTATATGTAGCTGGTTCTATGCTATAAAAATTGGGGAACTCAAAAGTCTACACTTTACATGTTAACATGAGCTATGGTCAGAGACTCGAGCTAAGCATTTTCATGCACCGTCTCTGAATCTTGATTTTTGGGTTGTGAGAATATTTTCTGGGACACCTTTTTAAAATATGATGGCGTTATAGACAAGTTGTTTGTTAAAGCATTGAACAACTTTTTTTTTTTTTTTTTAACCCAAACTACTTTTATACTGAGCTTTTGCTGTAGCTTCTGTTGTTTTTATACTGTTTTATTTTTATTTTTTCCAGGTTGCTAGAATAATGGGTAATAGCTTGACTAAATTTTTCTTCTCTGTTGCCTTAATTTACTTAGGATAATTGATGAAGATGAAGAGGTTGAAGCCGACAGAAATGTTAACCATCTCCCTAGCCTTGTCCTTTCTGATACTATGAAAACAGGTTTGAAGAGAGAGTTTGATGAAGTCTTTACCAAGAAAATGATTGAATCCATGTAAGTTTTGGTGTCCCGTTCCATTTAATTATGATCATTAGGGGGAAATGCAGTGTTTCTCGACAGTGCCTATCCTAGTCTAGTCATCTCTTTCATCTTCTGCTACCAGGCAAGTGAAAGCTCAGTAGGTCTGTTATTTAGCCTGTTTGCAACAGATATTTTCTTCATCTATTGGAGTAAAGAAATACTGTGCAAGCAGGGGTTTGAAGTATACAACAGTGACTATGTTGCCTGCTTACTTCTTGGTTGAAGTCCTGAAATTCATTATAGATTGTCATCTTAATATTTGGGAATGGAAGACTGGCAACAGAGAGTCCATATGCTTTTCTTCATATAATAGGTATGGTGGTGGTGGTTATATGCCGTGGAGTCAGTTCCAACTCTTAGTGACCCTGTATAGGGTTTCTGAGGCTGTAAATCTTTACTGGAGCAAAAAGCTTCATTTTTCTCCCACTGGTAGTTTCTAACTGCTGACCTTGGGGTTAGTAGCCCGACTCGTAACCACTACTCTAACAGAGTTCCTTGATAGGTATGGTGGTGATTATGTGCTATGGAGTCGGTTTCAACTCATAGCAACACTGTATAGTGTTTCTGAGGCTGTGAGAGTTTACGGGAGCCAAAATCCTCATCTTTCTCCTGTGGAACCGCTGGTAGTTTTGAACTGCTGACCGTGAGATTAGCAGCCCGACGTGTAACCATTATATTACCAGAGATCATTCATGATAGGTATAGGAACCATATCTTGAAATTGGGTCTCATTTGCCCAGGAACACCATTGAGAGCTACAAAACAAAAAGAAAAGTTGACCAGCAGTCAAAACAATTACCATCAAGGCCCCAAATCAAAGCGCTTGTTCTTGCCTCTTATTATAGACCCTCAGGGCCTTTAGCAGAGATGACTTGCTGCTAATTTAAACACAGTGATCTCGCTAACCTGGCTTCCTAGATCATCAGAGTAGAAACAGAAAGTTACAGCAGAAGCAAGCAATGGCACTTAACAGAAAAGGACAAGAGAGAAAACTAGAAATCAAACATGTAGTTAAAGTGCTATCGAGTCAGTTCCGACCCATAGCAACCCTGTATAGGGTTTCCAAGGAGCGGCTGGTGAGCTTGAACCACTGACCTTATTGTTCAAACGGCTTTGCAGTCTGGCGCATTAACCCACAGTGCCACACCAGGACTCCAAAAAAGCAGAGCAACCTGGGTGTTCCATAGGAGAAGAGCAGACAATTGTAATCCTTGAGCCTAGAGGTCCTACATTGTCATTATTCTCTGTGTGAAGCAATGTACAGGTTATCAAATGCTTTTTAGACATTTGTTGTTATTGTTAGGAGCCACTGAGTCTATTCTGATTAATCATGTGACCCCATGTGACAAAGTAGAACTCTTCTATAGGGTTTCCTATGCTATAATCTCTATAGGATCTTTTCCAGTGGAGTCACTGGGTGGGTCCGAACCACCAACTTTTTGGTTAGCCACTGACATCTTAACCATTGTTTCACCAGGGTTCCTTTGTAGAAAGTACTTTAGATAGACTTAGTGTGCTTTGTGATATGAGGGTATGTTTCTGAGAGCTGAAAAGTTATCATCGAACACTAGCCCCAGTGATGGCACATACATGTAGATAAAGCACTGCTGCCTTTGGACACTGTGGAAGTGATTGTGCATGGAGGTTCAGCTGCTGCGTGGTATTAGATCACAGAGGTCTTGAGTTAGTGCCCTAGCTTGAGCTGATGATTTACCTAGTCCTTAGGTTGGGTGTATAGTTAGCAAAGAGACAGCAGGTCCCATTGCTCTCCAGCACTTGACTACCTTTCAAGGCCAGGGAGGAGGGCGCTGGCCCTGGATTAAGCTCTGCTTGGCGTGAGCACAGACACTGCTGCTGCAGAGTACAGCTTTGTTCTGTGGAGTCCCCCGAGCACTTCCTCGTCCATGCTTACCTACCTCCCCTTTCGGTTTCCTTTTTATTTTTAAGACACACAAGCAGCATTCACTTGGGTATAACTGAAAATCAAGAAAAAGGTAGGAGAAGAGGGGCTTGGTTGATGGGGTGTGTAAGGTAATGGTTGGCATTGGGCAGTCACAGAAGGGATCGACAGGAAGGAGAGAGTTTCACATCCCTTCTAGTTTCCCCATGGCAGTGGCATTTTCAGAGTGAGGGGTACACAGGGACCACCTTGCTCTGTTCTCCATGCAGTCGGACAATGGCAGGCCTTGGGTTTGGGTTTTCAGAGTCAGCTCTGGGCCCAACTGGGTAGCAGGAGCCCTTTGTTCAGTTTTTAAAAACACCTGTGTTCCTTTCTCAGTCAGGAAGATGCACGTTGTGCAGGTAGGGAGACACAGTTAGGGAAAGTTAGTCGTCAGTCCTCTGACTGATGCTAAGGATTTTTACTGTGTACTTGTTCTAGGCATCTGGGAGAAGATACGGTACTGTCTTTGAGCTTTTTTAGTTTGTCTCAATTATATATAT